AATTCGAACAAAAATGTCAAATAATTGGGGCGTAGGCAATACCCGTTGAATACGGTCTTCGATTTCCGCACTGTACGATCACTGGGATATTTTTCGAAAGTTATAGCGTGATAGTGGAGCGGATTTAAACGGTATCTTCAGACCGATTCGGAGCGCTACATGGCGGTGACGGCTTTTTTGGAAAGAAACCAAAAATTGTCCTGGAAGCAGGAAGCGGAATGCCGCTTCTGTCTTTGGAGACAAAGCAAAGGTCCCGGCTTCGGTCAGTCTTCCATCTTGCTGATCTGAACGTGTCTTGCTGTTTAGCATCGTGGCACAAGTATTCGCCAGCTGCAGATGTCAAGTCTGTTAGTTGTTCACCTGCCGCATTGTTCGCTGTGTAACTACATACAGTATGGGTGCTGTTAAAGTTGCCCGCATAAACAGTTGGGTGAGGCATCGTTGGTAATGGCGGTGTAGGCCAATTGGTTGCGGGTCGTTTATATATGTTCATTACAGCGATTTCTCTGACGGTCACGGTAGTGAATTCGAGATCATTTCGTGCAGTTGTATTCGCAGATCCGAATTTTGCTACCGTTTTTCACCACGTTACCTTGAGATCCACTCTGGCATAAGCAGTTAAACGTATTTAGAGTTAATGCCGTTGGCGACCATATTGATCCAAACAGTTTGTATCCTGCTGCTTTGCAGTTATCTTCGTTGTACATTTCTTGCAGAATGGCGATGTCAATCCTGTTTTCGTTTAAAGTTCTCGGTAGATATTCGCATTTTGCGTGGAAGATGCCTTCGACGTTCAGCTGGAAAATTCTGAGTATATGACCCACGGCTTTACTTCTTTCGCCCTAATAAAGTCCGGTGGGTTTCTTTGCTCTTCGTCTATCCCTCTCATATGGACCGTTAGTTTTCTTTGCTCTTCTGTGGTGCTCTTAAGGATCGTTGGGTTAATTTCGTACCGATTTACATGTTTGGTTCTGAAAAGAACTGTTAGGTTTGTTGCTAGTCTAGCCGAGAGATTACTTACGCAACGTTCAGCTTCCAGGTGATAACGCTCGTTTTGCTATTACTCTTCAGTGCATTTTCACAACATGTAGCAGGAGCACCACATGAAGGCTGTCTGTCGTCTTTACCCGCTGTTGCATCTCAAGAGAACCAACGGAAAAATTTGACCCCTTGAAAAATTCAAGCACCAATCTCATAGGACGAATCATTTTCCTTCACTTGGCTGAGCCATATAGTTTTCTTCTGTTTGAACATTTGATCTGCGATGTAGTTGATTTTCCGGCAGTTTAATATTCTCAGTGATACTGTTGTAGACTTGAGCTATTGATCGATTTCGATTTCACATTACTCAGGCCCTAAAATGATTTTTTTGCAGGTTATTGATATGCCAGAACACAACACTGGTCAAATGGGTGGAACCATGCGGCTTGGACTCAGAAAAACGCTCTTCAGATATGAGGATTCCATCGTTGGTACATGTATTATTATGCCTTTCTGTTGTTTGATGGTTTAAGGACACTTTCTCTCAACGTGAGAATAAATCTATGCCGGCCACCTTTTTCATGTCATAGGTTTTGATGCTTTCAACTTGTTATGATTTTTTCTAATCCAATCTGATCACGCTGTGATGTTGGTAGCGAATTATCAGAACTATTCATGACTTGAACTGAGGAGTTAAAACGACGAAAACAATTTGTATTCTCTAAGAGCATGTCATTACGTAAAAGGCGTAATATCATCAGAGCAATGCACGATGATCATGATGATATAAATTTTAGAGAAACCTAATTTCATCAGTTTAGTTCGCTGAGGAGTCTATTTTCATCATTTTAACCCATACCTCTACCTCAACTCATGCTCCCCATCGGTTCTCTTGAGCAACATAATTAACTATTTTTCCTTGCATTCTTTACCAGTGTATGACGACACAGGATTTCTGAATGCGGAATTGCACCATCTTCACATCACTTTCCGCAGTAGCGATTTTGTTAAATTGGGCCTCGGTTGCTACTTCCTCAGACATCCGATAAATACAGATCCTTAATGCCAATTTCCTTTTTCCCACGCGTTTCAGAAACCATAAAGAAAGGGTTATAGAATTTAATTTTAGACCCCTTTCAAATCATGAGTTGCAGTTGGCAACGTTTTTCTTTGCTTGATCAACCAATATTCAGCAGTTACATCGATAGCGTCGGAGACATACATATGTTAGATGATTAATGTTCAGAATATACTATTGAATTATTAGCGAGGTAATGAAGTGATTCGAAAACTTTTTCATGTTTCTGTTTTTTTTAAATTTCTCTCGATATCAAAATTTCCATTCTTCTGTTGTTTGTTGAATTGTATTTGTCGCTATGTGCAACCTTATTTCAGCATCGTAACTCCAATTTGAAGTCGACAGATAATTTCGCTTTTCTTTCCTGTTAGCGGATGAATCGTAATTCACTGATTTGCGTACTCCGTTTTGTTTTCAGCGAAGTTGTACGGCAATCCAGCATTCATAGAAGAAAGGCACAGACATCGATATGAGGTGAATCCGAAATTCTTGAAGCAGCTGGAGGACCAAGGTTTAAAGTTTGTCGGTCAAGACGTTAATGGACAACGCATGGAAGTTTGCGAATTGACAGGTATTGTTTTCCATTGCTTGTTTATGTTCATTATTCCACGGGGGCGATTCGCACACTGTTTTTGAACCGTAGAGTTACTTGTTCATGCTTTGATAGTCGTATTAAAAGTACCAAATTCTGTCTCTCTATCATAGCGCTTTATAATCTTTTATCAGTGATTCACAGTTACGATTGCCAGTCAATCAGTCAGAAGAGTTAGTTGTTTCCATTAGTAGAAATAGCATGGGAAACTACAACCGACTTGAATTTCAGCAATCACTCACCTATTGGTATAACAATTTGCACAAAAACGGACAAAATGCACAATAACGAGACAAGGAATAATAAATTATGATTTAGAAATTGATTGATGGCTAGAAACTTAATGTGGATAAATATTTAAATGTGTGGGTTATCATAAGAGGATAGTTTCGAGCATGTACCATCTTTCTCGTTCCTCATTCTGTACTGTTCGAGCCATCTCTGGGATTACGGTTTTTTTGTATGCTTCAGTCCTCGCATATGTGCAGATATATTGGGACCTTGTTGAATCAGTCCTCAAAGGGCATTTTGAGTTAACCTGGTGCAGTGGATGGAGAAAATTGGTTAGAAGAGATATACCTTGCTTTGCAGTAGATCTTACCACCTCATCTGCCACGACATTTGCGACGTTCATATAGGACAGCTGATCTGCTCTGCTGACAATTTTTAGAACCAATCGCAATTTGCGTAGGTCATTTCACGAAGGAACAAAAGTATATTGGCAAAGCATGTG